ATAATCTATGATTCTATGATTCAATCTGTGGATGAGACGATGGTGGAGGGAAGAGGAATTAGGTTATTAAGAGCTGGGGAACCTTTGGGGAAAGGAGGAGCCTATACAGGAGGGATGGGCTTAACCATAACCAAAATGGAACCTGACAGCGGGCACATAACATTCAAAAGGTTGTAGAGGATTTTTTTATTTAAGGTCTGGGGCAAAGCTGACAGGTGTGGGGCAGCACATGGTTCGGATGGAGACATCCCTTAGGGATAAATTGATTAAAGAGGGAACTCTAGATCCTACTATGAAGGATAGGAAAGAAGTTGGTAAAGCCCAGGTGGGAGCCAGTGAGGAACAGTCACACGTAAAATAATCCCATTGAAACCTAACACATGAAGGCAAGCAACTGAATACTGACAAAATGCACAAGTGCTTATAACCAAATGTGAGGTGTCTCAATACTAAGATGGGTGAACTAGTGTGTCATTAAATGAGGATAGTGATATAGTAGGCATCATAGAAACTTTGTGGGATGAGGATAATCAATGGGACCTGGCAATATTGGGGAACAAAATGTACAGGAATGACAGAGTAGGTTCGCCTTGGTGAGCGAGTGGCATAAATAAAGCAGAGTCAAATAAGGTGAAAATCTTAAATGAATCATACTGTACAGCAGAGTCTCTGTGGAAAGAAATTCCATGCTTCTACTGCCAGCCACCTGACCAAGATGGTGACAGTGATTGTGAAAGGCTATGGGAGGTGGGATGGGGTGGACTAGGTCTGGAGGCCCCTCCTAGAGTGCTCACGGCCTTGCCACACCGCACCCCAGAAAAGGGAAGCAGAGAGGTTCTCTAAGCTGCCTTGAGCAGCTGTGTGGGAAGCAGCTAATCAGGGCCCAGCAGGCCAGCATAAAATGCCGCGGGGCCAGAGTGAGAGGAGTTTCTTGCTGGAGCTGGAGGAGTGTGGAGGTGAGCCTGGCTGGCTGAGGGAGTTAAAGGACCCGGACAGAGCAGTGCTCACAGAAGCTGGGGGGATGTGAAGGAATTCCAGGCTGGCTGCTGGGACTATCAAGACGAGGCCCTGAGGTAAGGGCGAAGAATGAACTGGGGCTGCGGGGAAGTGGCACAGGGAAGTGCAGCAGCGACACAGTTTATTTAAAGGGACACGGTGGACGGATTCTATCTATAGGGGCTGAGACCCGTAGTAGAGGGTGGGTCAGGTCCCTCCCACCAGCCACTGGGAAACTGCCCTGGACTTTGATACACCCCAGAAGGGGAACTGAACTCTATTAGTGGCCTAGCTGAAGATCTGGGGCCAGAAAAGCCCAGAGAGGCAAAGAGTCTCCAGGGAGGGAGCCCTGGGGCACATGGACCCACACCAGGGTCAAGACTGCTTGAAGAGCAGAGACAATTTGAGAGAGCCCAGAAGGGACTGAGACAGTTCGAATCAGGGTACTGTGATAGGCCTGCTGGATTGATTGGGGAGCGAACCCAAAGGTTGGGCTGCAGATCAAGGGACCTTATAGAGGGCACTGAGATATACATCCAACAGGGGGCCTATCCCGGAAGGGGGCTGATTTTTATCTCACATACAGACTGTGTGACTCAACCAGAGGGCTGAGTCACCAAAGATCCACCACAAACAGAGAAAGAGAGAGCAGGCACACGCCCTGTGACGGGGCGCTCATGAGAAGTGGAAGGACCCCATTACATATGGTACCAGCGGTGGGATATTTGAACCGGCCTCTGCAAGCAAGGGGAGCATGGAGCTC